TGATGTTTTGAGCTCTATTGTGTTTAGAACAATATATACTAATTTTTAAAGTATCAAACTGAATTTCTGTTCAATAAAAATCTTTCAAATGAGACTGTAGCTTTTTTTCCCCAAAACTTTGTCTTCAAAATAAGGGTGCATCTTATACACCGGTGTGTCTTGTATTCCGAAAAATAAGGTAACTTAATATAGTCCTATTCATGTTATAGCATAAGTTGTTCTATGATTTTATCTACCGTTTCATGTGGTAGTTTCCATCATCGTATGTTTGAAGCTGTTTTATGATTACTTGGGGGGAGGATGTTCCTCCAGATTGATGTGATTCAGTTTTTAATTGGTCAGATTGGGATTGTGAAAGCAGTTTTGGCATTTTCAGACAATGTTTTTTTTTCTTCTGTCATATACATAAGAAAAATAAAACTGGTAACAGTAAGAATTGATTTGCTACTAATAAACAACAAATCGTCAGTAACATTTAGCATTATTGATTTCATAACAGTGTGATTTGTATTGCTTGGAGTATATATCAGGGTAATGTGAATACATATAAGTTTGGGCTGTCACTGTACTGCTGGTGTATGTTTGTTATCTGTATCATTATTTATAATCAATATATTGTAAATACAAATTACATGTTATATAGTAAAGCTCAATTTTTGGGGTGGGAGTTAAGTCTTATTCCAAATCTTCTTAGCTCAGTATAGTAAAAATAAATGAAGTGCTCAAAATATTTTCACTATAGATTTCAGTTTTACTAAATACTTTTATTTTTGTTATCTTTCATGTTTGAAGTTTTGAAAAGTCTTTTATTTTAATACAGTAGTCTTAACTGCTTGTAACTGTCATCTTCCATTTTATCTCTACTGGTGTAAATAATTTATAGTGAGTCTTATCTCTCTATTTCAAGCATCAACAAACTACTACCCTTGTCCTACTGTATACTAGGTCCTTGACCCCCCCCAGTTGTCGTAGAGGTCAAGTGGCTTATTTCAAATGTTGGAATACCAAAGTAACATGCTATTTGTATCTTTTTGAGTTGAATTGTTTCCATGTATGTCTTCTTACCAGATTTTTGAAATGTATATGTGGAAACATTTTTAGGGTTCATAAAAAAAAAAAGTTCAATGCTTTCCGTTGTTACAATACAAAAGAATTGTACATGTACATATATATGCAAGTATTATCACATTTGTTCCCAAAGATACATAAATGTTGTTGATTTTCTACGACAATCTTCTTGGCAGTTTGGATGTTAAAATGCAAGTCTCTTCATTGCTGCCCCCCAGTGGCACAGTGGTACGTCTGCGTGCTTACAATGCTAGAAACCGGGATTCGATACCCGTGGTGGACAGAGCAAAGATAGCTCATTGTGTAGCTTTGTGCTTAACTTCAAAACAAACTTCATTGCTATCAGCCTTGTAGCCTAATATTGAGTGAAAGGCCTTTGTTGGCACTAGATAGGACAGATTTAGTGTGATTAATTTATTATAATGTATTCTTACTTGCTTTCATTCATAAGTTGTTAGAATTGTTAGAGTGGTATAAACTGTTGATCTCTCTCTGTGGTATAGAGAAAGGTAGTATTTAAATTACTCTCTTCTTTTACTTGATCAAGTTTTTTTCAATTTACATTCTAAATCATAGTTAGTGGTTTGAAAGAAGTATAGTAGGGAGCTGTCATGTTTGGCAGTATTTCTTTCATTTAAATGTATGTGTATGGTGTTGCATCTGACTATTAATTTATAAGTCAGGGATGAAGGATTCCCCAAATCTTTATTTGCCTTACTGAAGGTGGTATTTTCGTAAGTTGTTCTTGGGTTTCGATTAAAAACTGTTCATATTGCTTCTACTTATCACATGCAGCAAATAAGAATTAAAACTTTTGAAGTTTTATTAATTATATTTTAAATGACATGAAAACAAAAATGATGTTCAAATTAAATAACTATTACAAATATTTTTAACAAACCTGTTAGCTTTAACCAATAACACAGGCCTGCGATGGTTTTATTGTCTTGAAATTTTTACACAGTAATTCCTGTATGCTGAATCCTAAAATGATATCCATTTTTCTCCATCATGTACAGGTTTTTCACAAAACGTCATATGTACTTTTCCATAAGTGAATCATCTTCATTTTATGCTTAAAATGTTGACAACCACTGGCTGTAGATTTCTCTAGACCAATCGTGACGTGAGAGTCTTATTGATTGTTCTAGAACCCAAACATAATAATAAAAAAATATTCATTGTGGTAAGCAAAATAATAATTTGATCTAAGTAAGTTTTTCTTTTTTTTTCATACAGATTTGTAAAAAATCCTTACGTGATAGAAAAAAATGAATATTACTTTTGAAATCTGCGTAGCTGAATTATGGAAAATCCATTATTGAAACCAAAACAACTTTTTTTGCAGACCTGTGTAATTTTAGTAATGTTCCCCTAGTTTCAAGTAGTGCTTGTCTTTTTTGGCTTTGGTTGGTTAAATTTTTGCAGATCATTTATCAGCACAAAAGAGTAGCAGTTCAGTCCTACCAGTGTATAAAGCATTACAAAAAAGAAAGCTAACAACCTTAGAATTACCAACTTTTGTTTTTAGGGCATCGAAAAGTTTTCAAACCCAAACCAGATATGTAACTTTCATTTATTTACAAGATTAAATTTTCAAATGTACTGGGTATGTCAGGCAATATAGTTTTCAAACACTGTACATAAAGGAGTTGCATTTGACTTATTTGTATGTATGTCAGTTACATGGATATATTTTTTTTTCTATGGTGTATGTGTTAATCATGAGTTGTGGTGCTTTAAAATTAGGCCCAGTTTGATGCTGAACAGGGTGCTGATGTTGCTGGTGGTGGTGATGGTGATACGTCAGACTCATTGAGCATTGTTGATAGTGACCATGAGAGAGGTAGACCAATGTGGGACCATGGAGATATGTTAGCAACAACCTCTACATCCAGTGAAGGTTCCATTTCATCACTACCCCACCCAAGAAGGGGCTCAACCAGACGAAGATTCTTCACTAGATCAACCCATGAAGCAATTCGAGGTAGAGCTCGAAGGTCATCAAGATCTAGTATTCGGGTGTCAAGAGGGCATAATAATCGTTGGATTTCTGTAAGTTATAAAAGCTTTTCAAACTAGGCCTATGTATAAATATAGCTGTGTTTAGTAGAATATCACACAAGGTGCATATAATTAAAATTAATGGCTATGAGTTTTGGCTATGTTATTTTAATTGTATGCATTGTTGTTGTTTTTGTCAAAAGTTATAATATTTCATATGTAATATTTGCTCAATACATCCAAAAACTAATGCATTTAGTTAACTAGGGTGATTTAAATCTGTTTTCTCTGGGATTATACATGTTTGTTTTTAATCATTTGAAACTTATTCAAAGTTTGAAATTTCAGAGACTCGTCCAACAAAATGTCTATGAGTAACTGCTTAATTAACCTCCACTTCCTAGTTTCTGAGAGCTGAAAGTTGTCACTAGTTTGATGTTAAGGATTCTCAAAAGTTTGAAATTTCAGAGACTCGTCCAACAAAAAAATCTATGAGTAACTGCTTAATTAACCTCCACTTCCTAGTTTGTGAGAGTTGAAAGTTTTCATTAGTTTGATGTTAAGGATTCTGAATTCAGTGTTATGTCTCAGGCATGTTTCCTGACTGCTTTTTTCAGCACTTCTATTTTCATGTTTAACTATCCTGAAAAATATCAGCCATTCTTGTGTATCCAGAAAATGCTTATTTGTATGTTGAAATACGTTGTAAAAATGCTGAAATAGCCATAAACCAATTTGCACTGGGATGGAATTGTTCATTACAGATCTGTCAATAATGTCATACAAAATATTTATTTTAATTTGAAATTACTTGTCTTTTTTTTTGTCTATTTTTTATGGACATTAAAAATATAAAATGAACCAAGAATTAGAGCAAAGACATTTTGATTTTTTGGAAATTTAAATCCAAACTAAGTTATTTTTTAACTGTCAATGGATATGAATAAACATTACATAAATAGGATCTCATGTACTATTGTTACATTAGCACTGAATGAGCGTCATATACAATAAAAACAACAGAATGATTATGAAATCATAAACTGAATGTTTCGATGTATTATAGATACAAAAATTAAGAAATGAGAAAGGCTGATTAGTGTAGCGGTTGTTACGAAACTTGTATTTGAGCACTGAATAATTGGAACTCTTACATGTTACATCCACGGGGAGGATGTGAACTTTTATTAAAGTCAGCAAATATTAAAAGAAGATGAAACATATATATACATACATACATTCCTTTGATTTAAAATGGAACAAAAATTTTAATTTTTGTTTAATAATTTCCAACATTTCTTTAAAGAAGGACTTTGCATACTTTGTGAAATTAGACTTCAGATATTTTTATAAACATAAATAAAATAACAACCTATGTGTCCAGAATGTAACTTTATTAGCTCAATATTTCACTATTACAGCTTTGTCAGGAGCTATCAATTTCTTACCAGTCCACTAATCTAGCTCATTCTGGAGATATAGGTCGTTATTTTATTTACATTTATAAAAATGTCTCATAATAAAATCCAGTTTGCAAAGGCAAGAATAATAGACTTAGAACATTTGTCATGATTGAAGTAATTAAGTAACTGAAGTATATATAGGCTTTATTATCATGCAGGTGCTCAGAGACTTCAGTTAGCAATCACTTACCCTCAGACACTTGTTACTGGTGGCTTTTTTTTTGGCCTCTAATAACAATAAGGTAATTTACAGGTGTCTTTTTATTTTTATTCTGCATAACATAAAAGTTTGAGTTCTTGCCCTCAGATTAGACATCAATGATACAAGATTAGAACAATCTTTTGATTTTTAGAGGAGTGGATAAGCTGAATTCCTCTGGTTTAGTGTTGGCTTCAGATTAGCATTCACCAAACTGATCAGTTTTTAGTTGCCATTCATCTTCTGTTTTACTAATTATGATGAAATCATTAGGATTAATGTTTTCAGAAATGCTGCTCATTGCTAGATGGATTTCCAGGTTTTATTAGGTGGAAGTTTTTTTTGTATATAAGTAGACAGTGTGAATGTGCGAGTTATAAATCACCATCTAGTTTACGTGTACCCCATTCTTAAGACAAAATAAATTAATTTTTACATTTCAATTTGTGTGTAAACACCTTAGAATGGAACTTTACATTTTGAAACTTTGACCTGCTTATGGTAACACAATTACATCCAGTTTCTTGGAAGAGTGAAACTGTGAAATATTGAGGATGATCACCTTAACCAGCATTTAGCAGATGTTAATATCAGTGAATAGGGCTCTAAATTAACTTTTTTTGGTTGTTATCTGTAGAAAAGGTGATCCAGAAATTCCACCTTTTCTGGTGAATATTTATATGGTCTGTGGATTACAGTGGTCTTTATGCTTTCCTCTTTAATATTCATATTTTATGCCTACAAAATAATACTATCAAATAAGAAATTCTGCTATTTTTGTTTTCATTCATGCTGCAACTGTGAAGTAGTTTGGTCAGTCTTTTCGAAATCTTCTTTTCCTGGACCACTGCTGAACTTATCTAGATTGTTTGTTTAACTTCCATCATTTTAGTCAGTTTTTTTTCACATCCAAGTGCAAGGAAGTATGAGACAAGCTGTTGTGGAACATAGCTCATTTCCTGAGTGATAAATTTTCTGAAATAATTGTTCAAGTTATGAAAATATTTATTGCGTTTAATATATTCTTTGAGATGGTCTTAAGTTTTTCAGTCATCTGGCAACATTCAGTGTTGTAGATTATTCTGTAACTACTCATAACTAATGTTTAGTGACAAGTGGATCATTACTACAAGGTCTGATACAAGTAACAGTGAGTAATGTGTACTTATTGTTTAGCTAAAAAAAAAGTACAAATATTAGAATTTTATTAGAGAACTGCACCAATCTCATATAACAGACCTGGAGGACTGACAATATTTTAGGACACTTGTGTAAGTTGTCATCTTAAATGTTTTAATAACAAGAATTTAAATTTCACTCGTCCATTCAGATGATGTGTACCTATCCAAAAAAGAAAATAATAATGCCTGTTGAGCCATGAACACATTATTAAGGGCAAACTTCCTACTGCTTGTTTCTTTTTTGAAACATAGTGCTCATGCTTCTATACACATGATTAAACAAGATTTATACTTGAAAATGTGTACCCATACTAAGTGGACCCTGAGGTTGTGCACCTGGGTATTATTACTTGTATACTAACTTATTTTTGAATGCTGTAGGAACAAAGCTGCCAGAATGAGCATATAACTTACAAAGTCAGTGAATGATAAACACATACTTCAATTTGCCTTTGTGCTCATGCTTAAACATCATATTCAGATTTTTACTGTTTCAATACTGGAAAAATTCATATCAACACATTTTTCTCAGTCAAAAACCAGTAATGTGTTATCAGTATAATATGTGTAGTAAAGGTTTAAAATTAATTGAATATTTTTTACAACTGGTATTTTCCAAGATAACTCAGAAATAAACCAGAGCTAAAATTAGTTTTGACACCATTCACTTGGTGTCATAAATAAAACTATTAAATATAGAAATGCAGTTATTTGATCAGGAAAAATATCAGCTTGAAAACATTTTGATAAACATGTAACTATATCTAAATATTAAGATTTTAAATCTATACAATACTCGGTAGTTTTATTAATGGAACATTATTTCAAAGAAATTCAGTGTTAAAAATAGCTGTATGAGCTGCATGAATTTAATATTGTACACTGAATTTGAAAACTTAATTTTCTTTCATGGTTAATTTTTGTGTAATCTTAAAAAATTTTATTACCAAAAAATGTCAGTTTGTGATTATAAGTCTCATTGTTTAATGCTGGTAGTTATGCTGAACCATCTTATACTGCGTTTATGTGAAATAAATGTCTTTACTAGCCACGGAGAGTTGCAGATAGATTCCACCACCATCACTTTCCAGTTTTCCATACAGAGATGATTATGGGGCTCAGAAGTGGACTTAATGAGGGTAATGATTATGAGGTAAAAATATTTTTTTAATTTCATAACTTTATATAAAGTTGGATAAATAATTAAACAACAGAGTTTTATTTAGTCAAAGAATAAAAGTACAAATTGTTTACAATATCTAGGGGTTAAATTTGGGAGTACTTACCACTTTTGGGTGCAAAATTTGTGGTGCCCAAATTTAAAACATTGTGTCTTGAAAACTTTAAGCCAGAAATAGACAATAATAAATACCATGCATACTACATATGCATTGATGAGCAATGAATAATAAAATGTAGTTTATCTAATACAATGTGAAAAGACAGCAATAACTAGGAGAAGTCCTCTTCTGGAACAAGAGCTTTCTCCAGCCATGATAAAGATTATTTCTGTATTCTCAATCTATTCTTAGAACCAAGAGGTTGATAGATGGCTAGAGGAAACACCAGTTGCCATATAACAGTAAAGGCGGGTTATTGTGATGACACTTAGTCTGGATATCATGAGGCTCACTGGAATGATCCTTGTGGAACTCCTAAGCATTTCAAGCTGCTGGTATGAGCCACCAATGACTAAGGAGAATGGTGAGATGCGTGTGGTGAATGATAGTCACCATGAAGAGCTGTGATGCTGCTGTAACCATTGTCTCACTACAACTATGCAAATATTTCTGGTAGGCAGGAGACTTCCCAGCCAACAAAGCACTGAGACTCTACAAGACTACTTTTGGCATTTGATGTAGAAGTAGAATGTGATATCAATGCTGCATTCTGATCCAGACTATCCAAGAACACAGCATTTGTCAGGATGCACATTAATCTGAAGTGTTAGAGAAGAATGAGAGTTTATTTTAACCCTTGAGAACATCTCAGCCACACAGTGAAGGAGAATCTGGTAGCAGGTCCAGTCTATACCATACTTTAGTGATGTAAAATGCTGATCCAGACTGTCCAAGAACACAGCATTTGTCAGGATGCACATTAATCTGAAGTGTTAGAGAAGAATGAGAGTTTATTTTAACCCTTGAGAACATCTCAGCCACACAGTGAAGGAGAATCTGGTAGCAGGTCCAGTCTATACCTTACTTTAGTGATGTAAAATGCTGACCCAGCTCTTGTTAAATGGAACAGCAAAGGAGGATTTGGATCATTTAATCAAGTTTTACAAGCAGTTTATTGCTTGGAATGGATGGAGTTAAGGGCAAGTAATAAATATCTGACATTGAGTTTAAATGTGACACTTTGTGCCTAAGAGAATTTGGATGAGGACAAATTTGACAACTGAGACACAATTATCAATAAATTGCTACATCAGTTTCACTCTGCAGACCCAAGTTAAAATCTTTAAGATGATGATTCCATAAAAATTCTTACACCTATGCACATAATCTCTGGAGGTTACATGGATAAGGCATTCCTAAGCGTGTCTCCTGGTGATTGCACTGAGATATTCATAACACATTTACTGAGATTCTGTCGATTGTTCCCATGTGGTGTCGCATTGGTCTTAGAATCTTCTTATGTATGACAAAGGCAGTTTCTCTAGCAATTGGATTTAAATGGTAATATCAAATCAATGCTGGAGTAGAAAAATCCAGCAGTACTGGAAGCTACAACTGCAAACACTTCCCCAGTCATCCTCCAGAATCTGTGATAGCCTAAGGTTACTCTGCAGCACATGCAGCAATGTGTCATGGTGTACCTACCATGGTTCCAGATTGGACAGAGAGGCTTCTCAGGTGCAGTTACCATGAGAGAATTTCCATATTTTAATTCCAAGGCAAAAATATCCAACACAATTACTATATAGACTAAAACTGGAACAGTTGCAGGAAAGTTAATGACAAGCAAGTGCTGCCTCTGTTCTGGCTAAGTTGATGTATCGTGCATGGAGGAGTACATCCTGCCTGAAGGACAAAAACTACAACAATTGCAGGAAAGTTAATGACAAGTAACTGCTGCCTCTGTTCTGGCTAAGTTGATGTATCGTGCATGGAGGAGTACATCCTGCCTCAAGGACAAAAACTACAACAGTTGCAGGAAAGTTAATG